AGGGGGATGAATATTCTGACGTAAGACTTGTGATCTGTTACAACACGAATTTTATAAGTGAAACTAGAGATATATTAAGTTTTCTTAATCGATCTCGACACATTTTAATTTTAATTTTGTATGTATTGCTGTATCTTTATGCATTATTATATTTTTATCTTTTTCTTTTGTATTTTGTTACTGTATCTCGAAGGGTTTTTCTTCACGTAGAATAAATAAATAAATAAACGTACGAAACTGCAATATACAAGATGTATGATATACAAGTATATATAATAAATAAATAAAATAAGATACAACAAGTATAAATGTATATAAACTTCAATTTACAAAACACGTAAACTGAGCATACTGTAATACGTAATGTTGTAGAAATTTGAATTTTCGAACTATCAACAACTTGGTATTTCGATAAATTTAAAAATTTGTTTGTAAAAAAAAAAAAAGGATTCTATATTTTGCTGTGAACAATCGAGAAATTTTGGTGAATCAGTGTTTTGTGAAAAAAAAAAAACAGTGAAAAAAAAAGCTTCGCGTTGTATTACAGAATGTTTGAAACATTTATTGCAGTGGAAAGTATAATGATATTTTTCCCCGTCCTTTTGTGCGGAATTTTTGTTTTTCATCGTATTTTCGAAATTTTAAAGAGAATCGCGGCATTGGTGAACATTTTAATAAACGTGTATAGTACAACCGTGGAGTTTATGAATATTTATTGTAATGGAAAACCCGAGTTTCTCCCCTGTTATTTCGAACTTTTTAGTTTCGAGTTTCCACAAAAATTGCGGCATTATATCCTGCATAAATGTCCGCGGGCGTACCGCGGGATAATATAAAATTAAAACGACAATAATCTTTTGTAATTACAATCATTTAAAATTACAATAATTTATAGATTATATTGATATCAATTACATTGGATTTATAAATTACACGTTCGATGGCTAATAATTAATAAAAAACCGAATCGACGATTAAAATAATTCCCCCCCCCCCCCCTCGGATTTCTCACGTTCGAACGTTTTGGAAGAAACGATAAGACTGGCAATTTAAATAACATTCGATGTGACTGCACCGTGTCGCACAAGTTCAGAGAAATTTCGATTCCAACAGCGAGACCGAGTCGCTTCATAAAAGTGACTAACTCCGTGGTAAGCGAAGTTCAAAAAAATCTCGTTTCTCCAGGAGGGAAGAAACGTCCCATTCCTTAGGAGTTCACCCTAAAGGGAGGTCTTAATTGCTTTCGAAAAGTTTTCCAGCACGGTGAAACGAGACTCGACGATGTTAATTCAGCAAACTAGTTCAACAAAACAATTCAGTTGCTTCAACCATCGTCCGCCGCGTCGGTTTGCTCGCCCATTTCATTTTCGATATAACGATCTCGAGGAATATTCAGTCAAACATAACCTCAAAAACCAATCGTCTTTTTCTGGTTTGGGTTAGGTTTCTTTTTCTTCAAGTTTAAAGAAACTACGATATTGAAAATATCTTTTCTGGCGTTTAGTTTGGAAAAATAATCGATATCGAACTTATAGCCAACTAACCTATAATGTAGTCAAACCTAACCTATATATGTATATGTGAGTACATGGTAATTTTTGTGGAATATAGGAGTAGAAGCAGAGTAGAAAATTAAACATTGATTCGAACCTATGCCAGGCCTAACCTAGCCTCAATCTAATCAAATAGTAAGGAGAAGTAATAATTCATGGAAACGAGGGTTTTCGGATGGACAGTTAACTTCTTGCGCTGGTAAATGGTTCGCGGATCATAACGAGTGACCAAAACCGTATATAACAATTCGTCGCTTTCTTTTTTAACTCGTCGATATGATGATATCACTGGATAGAAATTATTGAGAGGTGAATTTATTATTTGCCTTGCCTGGGTTATATACTTCAATATACTTAAAACTGAGAAAATGTTGCAATTTTGGGAGCAAAAAATTCTCGACGTGCGTGGCACGTCGTTCCAGCGCAAGAGGTTAAAAGAGGAACTTAAGAAGTTTAAAAGTGGAATAAGATCGCTGTGAAACAATAACGACAGTAATAAGTGAGAGGTAATAGCAACGAAGCGAGCAAGATAACAAATGGAACGATATCTGTGGAATTATTACATCTCTGACGTTGTATTTTCGAAAATTGCGAGTTCTTTGCTCTTCGTTTCGAAAGTTTAAGCCATTTGCACTGGCTAACAACTGACTGCGGACCATAACGAGTGACACAAAATCGTACACAATAATTCGTCGCTTTCTTTTTGAACTCGTCGGTACGATATGAAGAAATCATTGAGATCACTGGATAGAAATTATTGAGAGGTAATAAATTTATTATTTGCCTTGCCTGGGTTATATACTTAAATATACTTAAAACTGAAGAAAATGTTGCAATTTTGGGCCAAATATTCTCGACGTGTGTGGCACGTCATTTCAGCGCAAGAGGTTAAAGTCACGTAAAAAATCTGATAGTTGTGCATTTGGAAAGATCGAAAGGAACAAATTCCCCTTCTGTTAATTTTTTAATACTACGGAAACGCCGTATCTAACGAGTTCAAATTACAATGGAAAAAATAATTGTGGAATTATAAATAATATATCGAGCCAAACGAGTAATGAATACATGTAATACATTATGCATGTACATATGTGTAAATAATATATATATATAATATACAATACATTCCCTACGTACACTATTGTTATTTATTATCTTATTTATTTATTTTTTTACTATATTTATTTATTACTTTTTTATCACAATTATTATTTTCAATCTAATTTCAAGCTCAAGAAGACGCTTTGAAAATATGAAAAGAAATTGAAGAACAACAAACAACTCTCGAACAATTTTCAACTTCGCGAGGAACAATTGATTTTATATAAATAACACAAACTTTTAGCATCGGGTAACTCAATTCAGAAACTTGCTGACGGAACTATTATACGTAGTTTACCTTGCATTCAATCTCAATTTATAACAAATTAGGTCATGTGTTTGTAATTAATTGTGCTTCGAATTATAAAGGTTTAAAATCGCGCGCTTGCCCGGACAAAGCAAACAAACCCAGGCGTAATTATGAATTTGTCCAATCGATCGCGTTTCCCAACAGTTCGATCGCGATCGTCGTTCGGCGAGCAAACAGAACTTCGACTACAGATGGAACAATTGTAACTCGCTTTATACTTGTATAAAATATAACGAAAGATAAAAACAAAAAGGTTTAGAAAGATATTTAATTCGAAGAGATCTTCCCTCTTTTCGAATATTTCCGATAGAACAGGATCGATGAAACGTGAGATAAGACAGGCTGAAAGGAGCAGATGTGAATAGACGGGGCTTCCAACGGCTGATTAGGTAATAGAGAAATTTAATACGACTTGGACGTCGTTGGTCTTTCGTCTTTCAACTTATGTCTGTAAAGTTCTGATACATTCTCTGCTACTTTCGTCGTTTAGCAAAAAAAGAAAAAAAAAATTTTTATTAGTCGTCAACTGCCAGTCGATTTTCACAAAAGACTTTGTATTAACAGACGTGACGATACTGTGAAGTCACGTGATTTTTAAGGATCAGACACAGAGTGACATCATCCTGATTTTTTGTCGTGAAATTCGTCACCTTCTGACGAGATTATCACTCTCGCATAATCATTCAATCAGAGAGTTAATTTTACCTCTTAATCCCTTGCGCTGGCAACTGATTGCGGACCATAACGAGTGACCGTACACAATAATTCGTCGCTTTCTTTTTCTCTCGAACTCGTCGGTAACTGGACACTACTGGATAGAAATGATCAAGAAGTGACCGACTTTTTATCATTTGTTTTGCCTGGGTTACGTTTAAATATCCTTAAAACTGAGAAAATGTTGCAATTTGGGACAAAAAAGATTCTCGACGTGCGTGGCACGAGGTTAAGAGTACCTGTGTATCCATAAAATCACCAGACGAGCGCACAAAGTGAAGAAAGAGGCATCGCTCGGTATTCCCAATTTCTAGCAGAAAAAGAGTATTTCTTTTCCCAAAAAGAACTATCGTGCGTATGAAATCTTAAAGAGGAGAAGAGCACCGTGTTTCGTAGCCTTCCAATTTCCGGAACACGTTAGATGCTCGAGCCATATCTTCTTGATATAACGGTTCGTTTTTCAGGACAAGCACGAGAGATAAAAAGGGAGGAAAAAGTATGTGAAAGATTAGGAGGAAGACGACGAGGGATGGGGAGAAAGGAGACAAGGCGAGAGAGCGCGTAATAAAATTCTGAAACGTACTCGTCTCGTGTTCTAGCTCTTTGTTATTTCTCGAATGGCTGAAACTGATAAAAAACTGATCCCCGAGTGCGTTTTCCGACCTCGTCGGTGGACTTTAATGACTCTGAGATGACCGTACCACACGCTATAATACATTTAATAACTAGCGTCAGTCCAATGGTGCAAACGAACAAAGTACAAAAAAGGAAGAAAAAAAGAAAAATTCAAACAGAGCACGTATAATTTACGTAAAGTGCTGAATTCAAACGGAGCGCAGCATTTACTGCAAATACACGATGAAACAAAAATTCCGACGGTGTTAAATGAAATACGTCTGTAACGACCGCGAAAACGAGATACGTCGATAATGAATGCGAAGCGTAATAAACAAAACTGGCGGCGAATTAAACGTGTAGCACGTGCTAAGTGAAATTTCGAACGAAATTCAGCTCACGACAATAAATAAAGCTCAGTTTAAACATTTAAAGGGATATAAATATTCACGTGATAAACGGAATTCAATTTGTAATAACGAAAACCGAATCGAATAAACGTAATTCGATCAATCATGTATCCTTGGATCGTGTTATCTTCCTTCTCCTTCGTTCGAGAACACTGCCAGAAACCCTCCAAATCCTGTTCTTGCTCCTGCTCCGGAAGCCTTATTCGAATTCTCATCGGCAGCATGAAAGAAAATTCTATCACTTAGCCGTTATTATCCCGAAATGGCCGATTGAGAGTGGAACGATTTGATTTACAGGGCGAGGTGGCCAGCAGATCGGTAACCGGCTCGATGAGAAGCACCAGAAGATGGGCCAGTTTGCGACAGCACGTGAGCAGTAACGACGGTGGGAAGCCGAGGGTCGAGCTGCTTCTCGATCCCCCGGGATCCAAGCCGTCCACGCCGTCCTCTCAGCCGCACACGCCCAACACGCCACGAACGCCTCACACACCGTTGAGGAAATCCAACTGGGAAGTGATTGAGCACTTCACCGGCGCCCCCCGTCCTTCCATCATCACTGTGAGTCGCCGTCTCAGCGAGATTATGCTTGACGATGGCTAAACTTAGGTTGACGTTTAAGATTCCCATGCTCAGTTATAGATTCAGCGAGCATCCCGCAGGATAGACTAAACCATACACTCAAGTCAGGGCAAATTGAACTGCACCGAAATTATTTCTTTTGAATATAGAAAAAAGAAAAAAGAAAACAATGTGGCGGTTCTTCGTTACGAAAGACATCGAAGCGGATATTTTAAATTTGAATTAGGTTAGGTTGTTCGCGCCACCAGTGACGAAATTAATGAATCTGTGTGGTTGACTGTTCTTTACGAACGAATTGTACAATCGCTGCCTGTCCGAAGAGTATTTTTTTTCGCGTTGAATTGATTATAACCGCTTGCGCTGGCAACTGACTGCGGACCGTAACGAGTGGCCAGATACAACAATTCGTCGCTTTCTTTTTGAACTCGTCGGTACGATACCGCTGGATAGAAATTATTGAAGAAGTGAACTTGACAAATTTAGTATTTGTTTCGCCTTTTGTACTTAAATATAATTATACTTAGAATTGAGAGAACATTGCAATTTTGGGACAAAAAGTTCTCGACGTGGCACGTCATTCCAGCGCAAGAGATTAACACAATCCAATCATTAATAGTGCAGTAAATATATTACTAAACCGAGGATCCTTTTAATATTGTACTTGATATATTTACACAAATATTCATAGCGTTCGTTTTCTTTCTATTTGCCATTACAAATAACATTTATAACATAACATATGTCCCTTCACGTGACATGACTAAACTATTTAACGCGAATGGCTTACGTGTATTGTTCTACTTTCCATATTTTTAATATCCCACCAAGAGACGAACAAACACACGAAAACTTAATATTTTAATTTTCGACTTCTCGCCAGTCGTATTTCTCAAGACAAATTTTACGATATAATGATTACGTTTGATCAAATGTTTCAGTCGATTCAACATTATGCATTAACGAAATAACGATGATGATTTCGGCAGATGGGCAGAGGGTCAGAAGTCGGAGTGGGGCTGACAGCTGGAAAAGACATGCAGGAAACGAACGCTAACGCGTCGATAACTCAACCACCGAGGAAATGCGCGCTTTGCCGGTTCCTGAAGTCCCTGTGCGCCTCCCATCGTTTCAAAAACTTGCAGGTAAACGTACTGTCAGTGAACGAGAAGAAACAGAAAAAAAAAAAAAAAAAGAAAATGTAGAACTCGCTATGTAACGAGCGACTTGTTTACGTTCCTCACCATCGGTTTCCCTCTCTTTTTACTTGGAGAAATTCGTTTCCCTCGAGCAGAACTTCCTTGAATCTCCGAGAATTGTGTCGATACACAAGCGTACAGGGTGTTTCAGAAAACACAGGTATAAACAGAGCATGAAACATACAGCGAGGATTGCGAAATCGTCGATACTTCAAATCGCTGCAACTTGGTGAGAAACTCTCGTTTCTTTCAAAGAACTCTTCCTTCATATCGCGCAGCGTGGACACTTTCGTCCTTCGACAATCGTCGAAGTTCAAACCGTGTTCAGGAACGTTGGGAATTCTTTTTTGAAAATGATTAGATCCACCGTGTTGTCTTGGAGATTGAAGTCTCTCCTTAGCGACTAGTCCTCGAAACTTGCGCGATTCTTCTTCGTCATTTTACCGAACTTCGAGCGGAGAAAGTTAGGGTTGAACGACAAAGATTGAAGAAAACGCGAAGAAAGTTCGCCCTAAACAGTTTCTGCCTCGTTTTTCGTTATTTCCCGAAGTGTCTCGTCGTTTCTCGCGAGTCTTCGTTTCCTCTGCCAGGCATTTAACAATCTTTCGCGAGCTTCCGTAATTTTTAATAATCCTTCGTAGCTTCACCAAGTCGCACGAAGTTACAAAAGAGTTGCTTTTCCAAAATATCGACAATTTTTCACCCCTCAGTTTCACCGTAGATGAAATAACCGTAAGAGCGAGATGACGTACTGTGAAAGACTCTATTATTGGAGTATAGTATTGTGCTAAGGACACAATTGTACCTTGCCAACTTCGTAACGATCGGTATCGATGTTAGATAACACGCGGCGTAATTCTATGGCTGTGTATCGACGGCGCTGCATACATATTCGACGCGTGAATTATGTATGAATTTAGTTTGAACTCTGCCCAAAGTGGATCAAACATTCTTCCCTAATTTCGTCTGCGCTTCGTTTCTAGGAAGTTTCTACGCGAATTTGAACAACGTTAGAACGTAGCTCCGATGGAACTTTCGTCTCCTTCCAGTTGTCTTCTTTCTCGGTCTATAGTTTGCCTGAATTTCGGTTCTGCGTTGGCCCCTTGCGCTGGCAACCGGTTCCGCGGACCGTAACGAGTGACCAAACCGTACACAGTAATTCGCCGTTTTCTTTTTCCTTTGAACTGGTCGGTACCGGATATCACTGGATAGAAATTATTAAGAAGTAACAGACTTGTCATTTGCTTTGCCTGGATTACATTTAAATGCACTTGAAACTGAGAAAATGTTGAAAGAAAATTCTCGACGTATATAATACGTGTCTTTGTCTTGTGAAAGAAATTCTCAGGGTTCCAGATAGAAATTTTCGAACTTTCAGACTGCTGAAATCTTGTTCTGACATAAAGATACACGGCCAGATTCTCTGAAACCACCTGTACTGCGCCGTCCCTCTTCGGGAACAAACAAACGTACAACGAGTCATAGCACGTACAAAGTCGGGATATTTTCATTTGGTGTATCAGGAGCTTCAAAGCTGCCACTCTCACACAGTGCAAACCTTTTCGAATCTTTCGAATAAACAAACAGAAAGCGGGAAATCACAGTCGGAGGGAGAGGAGGGAACGTTTGACCGACGAGTTATAGCGAAGCAGTGTTTAGGCCGCCGGTTGCTGGATCAAACGTTCTATCGAAACCAGCAACTGTCAATTGAAAAAAAAAAAAAAAAAGAAAGAAAAGAAAAAGAAAGCAGAGACAACGTAAAAATCAATTGAAAATCATTGGCGAGGAGACAGGATGAAATTAGAGGAAACAGAAGGCACTGTGTTGGAGAAACAGTTTCTAGAAAACACTAATGGAATTACTGGTGATTTGATGACAGAGGTACAAATGCAGTAATCTCGGATCGTAGTTGGTTAAATAGGAAAATAGTGAAATCGTGCAACAAGTTTCTGAGGGGCCGGTGGCTCCGAGCAACGGAGAGTTGCTCAGGGATACGGCGCGAAAAGTGTGGAAAGAGTCGGTGATTTCGTTTCAAAAACTGCGAATTGAATTTGGACTGCAAATTTATATTTCATATTCGCATAACTGTTCGTTATTCATTTGTTGTTTACTCTGCACCGGGAGCAAATTCGTATAAAAAAATATACTTTTCGCGAGTCTGTCCTCTTTTTTTTTTTTTTTTTTTGTCAGATTGTCACGCACGCGCACTATCTCGACGATCGATACACTTTAAACTTTACGATTTCTAAATTCTTTCGCAATAAAAATAAAAAATAAAAAAAAAAAAAGAAAAAACAAATAAAACACTTTTAGTAATTGAAACAAAGTCAAACGATTCATATGTGCATTATAATACTCCTCCCCCTACGTGTGTGCATTAGGATGGACTTTCGAGATTCAATATCAAGGCGATAACGGGCGCAGAGATTCGAAATCAGATTAAAAATCGACGAGAGACTCTGCTTCCCTCCCCACACTGTGGAAATTGGTCAAATGTCGAACAGATGGTCTACGCTCGATCGATCGATCATCAACTGGCCGTCGCTTAATTTTTCCATTTGCGTGTGCGCAGAAGGGGACATTAGTTCCAGGAGACGGGATAACGGGGAAAATAGCACATCGCTGGAGATTATAAGCGCATCGTTGGTCACCGGTTCTCCCTGAATATCGAATTGTTTATCCTCGCGGATATCCTCCCCTTTCCTCCTCCCACCCCTTTCCCGCGATCCTTGGTTATTCGACGATCTTGTTCGCGTGTTTATGCGTAGCCCGCGGTTAAAAATCGCGTGTTTGCGTACCGATATCCGCGACCAACGTTAAATAAAATAATCCAGTTGAAATGCCTGGATTACTCTTGCATCGCGTTTGTTTTTATTTCTGCATCGCTGTAATTCGATGAATCTAGTTACAGTCGATGTTTTCCCTCTCCCTTTTTTCTTTCTTGCTGTTATATCGTTGGTTGAACACGGTTGGTTTGTTTTTTGAGAGAGTTACGACTCGAATTAGGTTAGATTGAATCGAAGGGATGCGGCTAGCTTTTGCGAAACTTGGTTTCACCGCAGTTTGAATTGTGCTTGAGAGTTGAGATTCGCTTGATAAATCTGCGAAATGTGATTACAGATCTTTTATTTTCTCTTTTTTTTAGTTGTTCTGTTCGTTACATGGTTGGTTTGTCTTTGAGGAGAGTTAGGTTAGGTTCGTTTAATTTTTGTGTAGCTTGGTTCGCCGCAATTTAGGTTATGTCTGATTGCGAGTTGAATCTCGTCGCTGAGCAGCGCCAATTTTTTTTTTTTTTTTGCAATGGCTCAATTTTGAGTGGATTCAGTTTCAACTAGGTTAGGTTAAGTCGAGGTCGTTTCTATGAAATTTAACGCACGCGTTTAGATTACACTTGGGCAAGTTCCGTCACACACAGAAACTTCAGCTGAATTTCGTTCAGAGGAGGTTTAAATTGGATTTTTAAAAAAATGGCCAATTTTCTTCTTCGTGATTCTCGTTACGTCAAAAGTAAAATTTGATATCTCTTGAAATTGGCTTGTTTGCGAGTTCAGAGTAGAGGTTCGAACGAATCGTATCATGGACACATGAGTCACAAAGTACGTCGATATTTCCCAATACCCAAAAAGCTCACCAGTCCCCGAGAAATGGAGTGCCGCGTCAGCGACACTCGATCCAAACTGACCTGGAATCGGACCAGATGTCTCCAGCAATCCGTTTCTCTAATCACCTTTAGCTACGCTTGCTTAATCCAAGCCACGCGGCCGATCCTCGACCTCGAGGTTTCTCTCGATCCTTGATAAATAGCTTGCGTCCGACTAGAGTCAGCTTCCTTTACTGGACAATAAATCTTCGTTCGATCACACGAGCGAACTCTAATACTATAATGGCTTAGTCGAATTTCGTCAGAGTTCAAGGACCATGTGGTCCCTCACTTTACGAACTCGTCCAGGTTTCAGATTTTCAAAACAACCGGTTATCTGCTGTACGATGCGACTAACCAACTGATTGCGGACCGTAACGAGTGACCGAACCGTACACAATTAATTCGTCGTTTTCTTTTTGTACTCATCGATGATATGGCATCACTGGATAGAAATTATTGAGAAGTAACAAATTTCAATCATTCGTTTTGCCTATTTTGTTTTACTTAAATATACTGAAAACTGAGAAAATATTACAATTTTGGGACGTGGAGAAATTATGGAGTCAAAGTGACGGATTATTAGACCTTTTTTTCCCCCTTTTGAGAGGCGCTAGAAATTTTAAACGGGATACCGTGACTTGGAATATGACCGCAATATATTCGACTGCAAGTGAGACTCAGTTACTTAGAACATCGAGATTACGAAACAATTTAAATCCGAAGTAATATTAAATAATGTTAAAAGGCTCGTGTCGACTAATCTGACAGTTCGCTTCAGACAAAAATTGTCAAATGACAAATCAATCGCAAACGTCAGGCCAGCTAATCTGATGGTTCGCTTCGAGCGTCGTTAAATGGCATATCGATTCCGCAAACACTCGACTATCATACCAAGAATCAACTAGGTGTCCAGCTGATCTAATAAACTCGCGGTTTTGTTCACCGTGACCATCTGTTAACGGCCATCTGCAAAACTTCCCCAATTAGACGATTGTTGGCTGCAGGAGTTCGAGAGAGTTTGCCGAACCCAGCTTCGGGCGTGCTGCTTCTGGTCGGAGTTCGATCGAAGCGTAGACGAAAAAGAAGGAAAAAAAAAAAAAAAAAAATGAAGAAGAAAAAGAAAAAAATAGGTGGAGTTTAAATTTACTTGGTACCGTTGTCTAAATTAGAGGTCCCTAAAATTAAAGGAGGCACGGGAGCGCGAAGGGTGGGAGGAAGATAGAGGAAAAGTGGGAAGCCTGGGCGGCGAGCTGTTGAAAGCCGGAATAAATCACTGGAACAGCCACAGTCAGCTATTGTGAGCCGTTTCTCCTTTTTCATTCTCTCTGTTTCATTTTCCTGCTACGTCGTTAATCCCGTGCCATTGTTATTTTTATATTTCATTCCCTCCTTTAATTCTTTCTCTCTCTCTCTCTCTCTCTCTCTCTCTCTGCCAATTTTGTTTCGGAGATTTCTGGGAAAGAGTTCCGTTTCGAAACTGATTTTAAAGGATCAAGCTCGTTTCTTGCAAGGGAAGTCATTCAATGGGTGATCGACTCGAAGCGCAGGGAAATATTTCTGAGAGAGGCAAACGACAAACAGTTTGGCGGTTAGGTTTAATTTTGTGAAAAAACAGTCAATGAATTATTCGAAATTAATGATTAGTTAATGCTGTCGGATATATACACGGTATGTTCAATAGTAAATATTAAATGCCAAGTATTAGCTACCTAGTAAAAATTACATTAGAGTTTTACGAAATATAATGCTACTCCCTATTGATTAAGAAGCTACCACCACTACTCTGTTCGGCTTCGTAGCGAAGAAACACAATTTAGTCCTAAGCATTCGTTCCTTTGTCACGCTTGTTACGTAAGGGAATCCAGTTTGAAAGTGAACGAGAAGGGAAAGGGAGGCTCTGCCTTTGAACCTGTTGGTCGAAAGTCTAGCAGCCAATGTCAGAGTTTCCTAAGTTTTGCAGAAGATACTTCGAGATACCCCCGGTGCTGTCGGCTTGCGAAAAAAGAGCAACCCTTCGTTAATTAATGTCTATCGAAGTTTAAACACGTTTCGTCTTGTACACGAACTACACTGCGGGGACCAGAGTTCATGACTAAATTTAATTAAACCTGTATTACCATACTAAGAATCGTTCTCGACTACACGAGAGCTTCAACAAATTATAGAGGCATAGTACTCGTGTTCCAAATTTATTCCACCGTTTCCTTTCTTTTTTTTTTCTTTTTTTCTCGCCAAGTTTCGTAAGAGTTCAAGATATCGACGATTTTTCACCAAGCGCGCGAGTATTTTCTACTTTCAGCTGTACGTCTTCTTACTTTAATTTCGACGAGGTTCTAAGTTCGCGTGACCTGTCTCGTCATTGGACGACCTAGTATCACGGGCCCTGCGAAAGATCTGAAGGCGTCATTGTCTATGAATTGCCTGCAACGAGACGAAATGCACCGCTCTCGCTCTGACGAACAGGTTATGAGTTTCTGTCTAATGTAGAAACGAATTCGCTTCGCTTCGCGCGCCGGTTCTCCGATTTTCTGTCATCTTCGCAACTGGGTCTTTACTGCTGCTGAATGTAGCTGTCGAAATTCTGCTTATATCTCGTGACATTTGCTTCTGAATGTGGAAAATAATTGTACGTGGATTCTTCTTTCATCCTACAACTCTTTAAATATAAAGAGTCTCTCATTTATTTTATAGCGGCATATATACAATATGTATGTATATAGTATTTTATAGTGGCATCTTGTCTAGAGAATTTTTTGAGATCACATTTGCGATCATATTTTTTATTTTGTGACATGTATGTAAATTTTTTCACTCTATATCTTTTTAAATATAGAGTCTCTCGTTTACTTTATGGCTTATATCTTGTATTGTCTAGGGAATTTTTTTGAGAGACACACCTGTGATCATATTTTTTATTTTGTGGCATATGTGGATATTTTTCATCTCTTTAAATAGAGTCTCTCGTTTACTGTATGGCTTATATCTTGTATTGTCTAGGGAATTTTTTTGAGAGACACACCCGTGATCATATTTTTTATTTTGTGGCATACATGTGGATATTTTTCATCTCTTTAAATAGAGTCTCTCGTTTACTTTATGGCATCTTGTATTGTCTAGGGAATTTTTTGAGAGACACACCTGTGAACATACCTCTTGTTTTGTGGCATCTTGTACCATGCAAAGAATCTTTAGACACCTAGGAAATGAATTTCCGAGTGTCATATCTCTCTACAAACCTATTTTCTAACATTGTGTATTGTCTAGAGAATTTTTTTGAAAGATACATCTACCATCATATTGTGATCATATCTCTCTGCAAATACAATCACTCACACACGCAGAACTTTAAGATGTCTAGGGACTTTCGACAGCTGCACTCGCGACTTTCAAAAATTTTAAGCTACTTCGAACGTGAAATAGTCTTCGATAAATGTTCGACTACAATTTACAAAAGTTTCCAGGAAACGTTTCTTGGGAAAAAAAAAAAATTCCTAAGAAATTCCTGAACGAGTTCTTTTAAACTTTAGGTGGAGATGCTGTACCAACGCTACTTCCTGCGGATGAACCAAAGCAACATGACGCACGTTCTTGGCTTATTGGCGGGGCTGGCTCTTGCCCTAGGTGTGCTTCTAGTCTTGAGACTGATATTCGAGGACGACCAACAATTTCTTCGTACTTTGGAGAGACCGGAGAATTTGTCTTTAGCGGTGACACTGGTCGTCTGCGTTGCGGTCTACGCTGGTACGTATCACTGAAGATTCTCTAGGGAGAAAATTTATAAGAACTCCAAAGAAATTCTAGGGATAAATTCGCCAAAAATTTGACACAAATTTCTTTCTGAGAACAAAATCACCATAGGAAAGTTAAAACACGAAATCTCAAAGATTTCTTCTACGATGAAAGTTGATAAAATGTGAATTATAATTATAGCCATTCTTTTGTTTGCCAAAATTTTGCAAGAAGAATAGAATATTAAGTATAGGAATATTATCTGCAATGTTCAGGATAGGTTAGGACGAATAAATGCATATTTGGTTCAAGTTTGAACTAGGTTTAGGATGAATTTTGATTAAATTTGGGTTAGGAGGAACGGAGAAACCTAAAAGGAAGAATGTTTGAGTTAGGTTTATGGTATGTTACGTGACGGAATTACGTATTGTCACTAGAAAGCTTTGGACGAAGATGACAAAATATTTCCTATGATTGTGTAGGGAATTTTTCTAGATTCACTGGGAAATTTAATTATTTAAACGAAATTACCAAATTTTAGTTATCCAAGAGAACCAGATAAAATTTCAGGATCTCAATTGCCGAAGGAACGAAGCGATCGAATTTTAACTAGAAATTTAGTCACATCCGAAAAGTTAGTCACATATTCGGCAACCCTTGGCCGAATAATAATCGTTCCTCGAGATAGAAGAAAAAGAAAGACAAGAGATAAAAGTCAGACACGAGATAAATGATTCAGCCTTAATTATACGAGGCAGGGATCAACAAGATCCTTTTTAACGTTTGCAGTCACTTTCGTTTCAACTCGGTTTGACCCACTTCCGTCGCGTGGACGTTAATTAAAATTTCCTCGGGAAACGTTTTCGTCGCGTACGTAGTTTCGCTAAACAAAAAAAAAAAAGAAAAAAAAAACGACCGGGAAAGAGGCAAACAAAAAAAAAAAAAAAAAAGAGAGAAAATATTGAAATGCCATCGTGTGCTCTTATCAAAGCGCGTCCATGCGTCGAGATAGTTGTCTCAGCCAGGTATGCACCGTCGGCGACGTCAAAGGTGGGAGAAGTCGAGCGACGCATCGGTTTTTTTCAAAGCGATTCACTCGACTGGTTTTTTTTTCTTTTTTTTTAGATTAACGTTTGCAATCCTTTATTTTTCGAAAGCGACCGCTCGTTGACAAAAGTTCGTATGGCAGTTTCATTCATGAGAGACAAGTAAACAGTTCGATTTTCGATCGACTGACTTTTTAAAACTAACGATTGTTCGGATAGAACTCGATGCATGTTTCAGTTTTGAGATTTTAATCGAGGAACGTGAACGTGATGATTGAAGCAACGTTAATTTCATACGAGCAATTCTCTGTCCAATTTATAGATCCGCCTGTTTTTGCAAAATGATCGAAAACTTCGCGTCTGTAGGACCATTCTTAGATCTCTCATGTATCCATCCAACTTATTAAGGTAAAATGTTACTAGGACCCAGTGACTTTTTTACTTAACCTAAAAATCTTTGCAAAACCTCCAGTCATTTTACTTGGTGGTCATTTTCATATATTTCATCAGTTAATTACAATCAGTCTAGTAATTTTTTACTTAACCTAAAAAATACAGTGCCACACTCCTACAAATCTATGTAACTACCTTTACCCTACAAACCAGGATTTAATAACTTTCTGAAAAACCTTAACCACCATGTGACTTTCATAATCGACCACACTTCTGGAGCCACTTATAAACTTCTCCTCTGGAATTTAACCAACAGCCAATTTAGCTCAAAATCTGATAACTTCTTTCCTAGCTTAGAAAATGTAGTTAATGTTCAGAAATTTACGCGCCTGCAGGTGCTACCTACGCTTCTGAGCTATTCACATAGCTTCCAAGAAACCAATTTCCCTCCCAGAATCTAGTAACATTTCAGGTTTCTTTAAATTCCAGCACTGGTGGCAGCGATATCAAGGCCCGGGATGAACGAAATCTGGTTAGCCGGCGTGAGCGGAATAGTGTTGGTGACGCTGCTGGCGTTGCAAGTGGCTTTGAATATACATCTGGCGTTTGAATCGAGGGAGTATCAAAGCGGAGGGCCGTTGGCTGCAGCCTGGGCCGTCTGTTTCTTCATTTACATGGCGTACGCGCTCCTCCCGATAAGGTTGCGTCACGCGTGCATCGCCGGCATTATTTTCTCCCTAGCGCACCTGATCGGTGCGTTCGTCCTCTATCCGTCGCAGTATCCTGCCATGATGGAACACGTGAGTGACATCCTATATCCCCTTAAACATCGTACAGTTGCTACTTTATATGCAGCCGATCAACATTTCCATCGGAAGAGGAATCGCCATTCAATGAAATTGCATGGTTGGATCTAGAGAATTTTCTTTTAAATGAGATTTAAACTCTGTAGAATTGTTATTTTACATGCAGCCGATTAACGTTCCCATTAGAAGAAGAATCGCCATTGATTGAAATGGCGGCGTGGTTACATCTAGGGAATTTTTTTTTAATGAGATTTAAACTCTGTAGAATTGTTATTTTACATGCAGCCGATTAAAGTTCCCATTAGAAGAAGAATCGCCATTGAAATGGCGACGTGGTTACATCTAGGGAATTTTTTTTTAATAAGATTTAAACTTTGTAGAATTGCTATTTTACATGCAGCCGATTAACGTTTCCGTCAGAAAAGGAAATGCCATTGACTGAAATTGGCGACGTGGTTGGATCTAGGGAATTTTGTTTTAAATCGTCGATGGAATTGTTTCAACCTTTCGCAGGAGTGTCAACCTCTAAAGGAGCGAGCGATGGAAATTTTCAAATTCTGGACAATTCAATTTTTCGAAAAGAAACAGCCCTCAAATTTCACACGCGCCGAACTGTTCTGAAATTGTTCTCTCAGATCCTCCAATTCTTTGAGAATATTTCTAGATACAATTGGATCTGCGTCAGAAAGAACAGCAGAGGAGTTGCTCTGGATAGATTTCATTGATTTTGGGTTTCATCGAACCCAATTATGGGATTTCAGTGTAATAATCCCATGATTGTCGCGCTTGGACACAGTTTTGCAGTTCGTTAAGCTGGCGCGAACTGTTATTGGATCGTAGATTTTGTTGGAAATTCAATGGGAACGAGACTCACCGCGTCAATTTCTATTGAAACTGAATCTGTAAGCTGCAGATTCAGTTTCTGCAAACTTTGCATCTTCTCTTCCATATTCTACTAAATTTAAACTTAGATCACACGATGATGTAAATGTTTTTCTCGGTGAATATTTGCTCGAGTAATTTCCAGATTCGGTTTCCATCATTCGTTCCTTAAATCTGACTCAATTTTTAAATTTGATTTTGTTTATTTCATGTTTCTGCTATTTCTTAAATTAATTTCTAAATAAATAAAGGTCTTTCCAAAGTTGAAATTCGGATTAAATTATATCGAATCAGATTAGGTTACGTTACTCAAACGTTTCGACTAATTCTCGTCAAACGACAATCGAATTTTTACAGAAACTGTATTAATTATTCTCACTAATTTTAATTGCAATTTTGCCTTAAATTCGACAGTCTACTCGTTCATGGGAATTTTAGATTTACATTACATTGATTAAAATTTTCTATTATCTGCGTTCGAATTGTATTATATTAAATTAAGTTAATCATCGAAAAGTAATTTACAGCGAGGTTCTAATTACATTTGGCATCAGATTCTGTATTTGATCACAGTCTGATATTTCGTAGAAATCAAATTTGTTAATCTCAACGGCGTATTTCATTTTGATAGACTTTACTGTTCAATCAACAATAATATATTGATCAATTCGATCAACGTTTGCTTCGAAACATTTGAAAAACATTCGGAAACGTCTGCGATCAATTTAGTCTCGCTTCGTTTGATTTCTCTCTTTTACCATCTATTACCAACATTTTAAAATTGAAACACTCTACAAAAGGCGAGAAATTCCAAATGTACTTGATACTGTTCTCCTGAACAGAAGTTCTCCTATTTTCCTGTTCCTCTCAGATTTGATTCATATTTACATGTTAATCTAATTTGTAGGTTAGGTTTCAGTTTCAAAATTTCATTTAAACAGGTTAGTGAAAGTTTCAGAACCGTGAAAGTAATTTATGGACTTAGGTGTTATCCTAAGCGAAAGGGAAGGCAGACGAAATTTGAATTTTATTCAAATTTACTCAAATTATGTTAAAACGTTCGGGATTTATCTTCAAAGTGGGATATTGTCAGTATGGCGGCATCAGTCAAGAAACGTTGTAAATATTTATCACTAGATACTTTTATTCACGCACTCCGCTTGTACTTAACCTCCAAATTTTTGTATCGATAAAAAAAAAAAAAAAAACACGAATCAGCGAGTCGAACAATAATAACGTAAATCCGTGGATCGTAGAGGGTTTATGTACAAGCGTTGATCACAGTTTCTGGGTCATCGGGAACGATTGATCAAGCCAGGGTGAACGCACCCACGAAATTCCCTGCTATCAAAGTTCCCCGGTGCCGGTTCAAGCCAACTCTATTATTAACGTCAAACCTTCATAGTGTGTCGTGATACGGGGGCGTGTTTTCGCGCGTATCTCCACCTAACGCGCATCGATTGCACCGTTTCGGTTAATAATCGCGTCGTTACAGCGACTAGCTTCTTGTTCTCCGGTTCACCGAACTAGCTGCCTCGTTGAAAATCCCGCCGGTGTCACGCGATTTTTCCCCAAAATTACACTACAATTTCCGACGCTCGGTCAACGCACACGCTGCAAAGTCTTGCCAACTGTCGCAACAAAGTCACTATTCGTGACGTAATTGTACGCTATGAAGAACTAGATGAAACATATTCTTTTATTTTTCTACGATGATTTATTTTCTTCTTTAATAACCAGACTGTGGATCTTTCTATGCGTACACGTTGCAGTCTTGCCAACTGTCGCAACAAAGTCACTATTCGTGACGTAATTNATACACAATGAAAAACTAGATGAAACATTTTCTTTTATTTTTCTACGATGATTTATTTTCTTCTTTAATAACCAGACTGTGGATCTTTCTATGCATACACGTTGCAGTATTGCCAACTGTCGCAACAAAGTCACTATTCGTGACGTAATTGTACACAATGAAAAACTAGATGAAACATATTCTTTTATTTTTCTACGATGATTTATTTTCTTCTTTAATAACCAAACTGTGGATCTTTCTATACGTACACGTTGCAGTATTGCCAACTGTCGCAACAAAGTCACTATTCGTGACGTAATTATACACAATGAAAAACTAGATGAAACATTTTCTTTTATTTTTCTACGATGATTTATTTTCTTCTTTAATAACCAGACTGTGGATCTTTCTATGCGTACACGTTGCAGTCTTGCCAACTGTCGCAACAAAGTCACTATTCGTGACGTAATTGTACGCTATGAAGAACTAGATGAAACATATTCTTTTATTTTTCTACGATGATTTATTTTCTTCTTTAATAACCAAACTGTGGATCTTTCTATACGTACACGTTGCAGTATTGCCAACTGTCGTAACAAAATCACTGTTCGCAACATAGTTGTAACGATGAAGAATTAGACGAAATATTCTGTGATTTAATTGTAATGATTTGTGTTTTGCTTTTCTGAAAAACAATTTACGTTTCTGTACAGTTGAATCCTTTCATGCAATCTCAAGCTTTATAAAAGTTACTTCAATACCACGTTATTGCATTTTTATAAAATTACTTACAAAAAGAACGTAAATTACAATGTCACGTCGCTGCATAATAAATTACATTATTATTTATGAAAGCAGAAAATTACAAACCGAACGAGTTACAAAATTAATTAAACCGAACAATTTCGAGAAAGTACCGTAGTTATTAAGTAGGTATCAGAAACAATGTAATATCAGAGAAAAAGTACAAAATGCATACGTACGCATTTCCCTGAGAGGGAAAGAGAAATTTAAAAGGAAAACTCTACGTAGCTCTGTGTGACGGCCAGGTTCCGTGAAATGATCAAATGTTGAATTTGACGTCTAATTAGCGCGAGTTATATTCCTCGAATAACGCTTTGTTCGATTAATCCCTGGCCTTTGACCGGAAGATCCAACGTCATCAAAGGGGGAAATTGTCCGGGGAATTGAGAATACTCTGACGAAAGGTGTCGCGGGGGAATTTCATTTTTCAAAGAGAGAAATCCTTCGTCCACGGTCCAGTGTCAACCAGTCGATTGAAATACATTTCCAGATGTGAATAAATCGTGCAATGTCCTATCCTGTTTTAAAGCAACACTTGCCACATGTCTCTTTTACCTTTCTAATTCAACTTTGGGCTTCTTTGATTCAAAATTCAATTTCGACTGAATTTTCTGACTTGGTTCTTCAATTTTTTTTTTAAACATATTTACATTCAATAACATTCAAAAATATTGTAATGAAATTTCGAAAGTCAAGTCCTTCATAATTTCGGAAGAGATCGAAAAAGAGATTACATTTCCCTCAAATCTTTGAAACTGATTCAATTTTGTTTTGAGTCAAGAGACCCCTAAAAGAAACGAAAGATTAATCGATTCGAAAATCGAATGTAATTTTATGATCAAAAATCATTCACAATTTTCCCGACTTTTACTGATCTATCAGAGAAGATGCAAAGAATATTTTTCCCATTAATTTCAACACATTAAATTTCCCCTTGTCCAAAGAATTTTTTTAACTTCAAACTTTCTAAACTTTAAAAATAATTGATAATAAATATATACGAGCTGCAATTGAACAAAAAGCAAAAGAAGAAGAAGAAGAAGAAGAAGAAAAAAGAAATATTGGAATCCATCGAACTGGAGGATGCATCCAGTGCTTTCAAGGTAATAAAACCTAAATAAATTGGCTGGAGGTTGGCTAGGGAGGGAGGAGAGCAGTGAGCAAGCAAGGGAACTTGATGGATGAAGACACCGAGCTGGGAGGAAATCCAATAACAACGTACCGTTTCATGAGATTTCCGAGTAGAGTTCGCGTCAGCTTTATGCTTTCGCGTCATCGATCTGTTTTTATCTCTTATCAGTGGCCGCATATGTTCCCAGAGTGATGATCAACGTATCGCTGAAACGGGAGGATCGCTGAGAGAAAGCTCTCCGCTAATTCTATATGTTACTACTCGCTCAATCATTCTCAGTCATTTTTATCTTTAATATTTTTATCTTTAAATTTTTCGGTTCGAAGATACTTAGAAGAATAGACAGCGAAGGAGAAAATCGAACACCTGCGCGAAAGACGT